AGGTCTTCTCCTGGTCAGTTGGATCCATCCTGATTTGATTATATCCTGAGAAAGTGTCTATGAAACTGAGGAGCTCTTGTCCAGCTGTGACATCCACTATTAAGTCGATCCAAGGTAAAGAAAAACTGTCCTTGGGCATGGTTAGTTGAGATCTGTGAAGTCAATATAGAGTCACCACTTTCCGTTGGTCTTCTTGACAAGAACCACATTGGCTAACCAGGTAGGGTAGTCGACTTCCCTAATAGCTTTGGTGTGGAGAAGCTTGTTGACCTCCTCATTAATTGCCTTATGGCTCTTTGTTTTGTTTTTGCTTAACTGGTCTACAGGTGGGATTCACATTTAGCTTGTGTGTGATAATTGAGGGGTCGATTCCTTCTATATCTTCTTGCTTCCAGGCGAATACTCTCCCGTTCTCCTTTAGGAATTGGACAAGAAGGTCTTTTATTTCCCTGTTTAGCTTAGACCCAGTGTAAACAAGGTGTTTTGGCTCCTCATCAAGCTGAACAGGCTCTAACTCCTCTGATGGCGTTGGCCTAGTGTCTAGTTCGTTCCTCATGCTCATCTAGCTGGACATTCTCGACTTTTTTCTGCTTCATCGGGGTCATGTAGCACTCCTTTGCTTCTCGCTGGTCTCCTCGGACCACTCCAACCCTATTTTTCGTAGGAAATTTCATAACTAAGTGATCAATAGAGGGGATTGTTTTCATCGCGTTGAGGGAGGGTCTCCCGAGAAGCATATTATATGTAGAATGGGCATCAACCAACATGAATCTTACTGTGGTGATAGCCAGGCAGAGAGGATCTCCCATAGTGAGGACGAGCTAGATTGAGCCTAGGGACAATACCCTCTCTCCTGCGAACCCCAACAGGTGAACACTAACTGGCTCCAACTTTCCCTACCCATGCCCATTTTGTCAAACGCAGAAGCAAATATGATATCTGCTGAGCTCTCGTTGTCAATTAGAACTCGGTAAACAGCTCTTACCACCAATGAGTCATCATGTGGGTGTTGGTAGCCTTCCAAGTAGGAGTCTGGAAAGATAATAGTTGTGTCGAGCCAAGGTGCCTTGGACATAGCGTGCACTTCCAACGTTTCACCCAGTTCTGATTCTGCACAGGTGGGCCTTCCTAGCTAAACTAGATTCTCCCCTTCCTGCNCAACGTTTCACCCAGTTCTGATTCTGCACAGGTGGGCCTTCCTAGCTAAACTTGATTCTCCCCTTCCTGCGAATCCTCCAAATATTACTCTGATTTTCCCCAGGGGTTGCTGATGTTGCACAGGAGCCTGCTGCTGAGGCGGCGGAGATGGAAGGGCTCGGTCTTGACCATGATCCCTATGGTATTCGCAGTAGTATGGTGACCATGATCCCTATGGTATTCGCAGTACTTTATGGGATCTCTTTGCGCTGGGTCTACTTTCATCCGAGGTGGCCACCTTAGAAATTTCTCATTCTGTACCTAATATATGATCTAAGATATCGTTGCAGTTAGAGGAGAAAGCTGTCGAGGTGCGTACCTCGACTGTAGTTCTGGCTGTGGCAGACCTAAGCGATCCCTGATGTTTTTTCTCCTTTCGGGGGAGCGATCTCTGTCCCTTCTTGGAGACCTATCACGTCCTCTTTCTCGCATGGGACTTCGGTCCCTTTTCTTTTCTTCTTTTCCCTTATCTTTTTGCGTGGATGAACTCCCCACTTTTGAGAGAAGAGCTTCCTCGTTGTTTATGTATTTTTTTTCCTTAGCCAATACCTCAGCTATACTTGCCTANAACTCCCCACTTTTGAGAGAAGAGCTTCCTCGTTGTTTATGTATTTTTTTTCCTTAGCCAATACCTCAGCTATACTTGCCTAATGGTTCTTTGAAATAGAGAACATCAGGTCTTTGGATTGCACGCCTAAACCAGCTATNATGGGACTTCGGTCCCTTTTCTTTTCTTCTTTTCCCTTATCTTTTTGCGTGGATGAGCTCCCCACTTTTGAGAGAAGAACTTCCTCGTTGTTTATGTATTTTTCTTCCTTAGCCAATACCTCAGCTATACTTGCCTGATGGTTCTTTGAAATAGAGAACTTCAGGTCTTTGGATTGCACGCCTAAACCAACTATAAATGCTGTAATAGCAAACTTCTCATCTGGGACATCCACTTTCAGGGATTTCGAGTTGAACCACTGGATATAAGACCTGAGGTTCTCATGGGGTCTTTGTTTCATGTTCAATAAGTGATAGCTCGGCTTTCTGTATATCCGAGCTCCTATGAAGTGAGGTACGAAGGATATAGAAAAATCTTTAAAGGAGGAGATCGAGGCTAGTGGGAGCCTACTGAACCATGCCAGGGCTGAGCCTTTTAATGTGATGGCAAAGGCTCTGCAGCACACTAGGTCCTAGTATCCATGGGCTCCATCTAGTTCTTGTAAGTATTGAGGTGGTCCACAGGATCCTTCGTCCCATCAAAAGCTTCTATCTACGGCATTCTGAATTTTGAGGAGAGAGGGAAATGTAGTACGTTGGTGGTGAATGAGGACTCAGTCTGTTGCACCAGGGCATCCATTGTGATTGGGGTCTTGCCCTTCATTGCTTTCTTCATGTGGCTGAGCTCTTGCTGGATGCCCTTAAAGTGTTGCTCCTAGTATTGTTCTCTCCTTTCCTATTGATAGGGGAGAAAATCATTNGGTCTTGCCCTTCATTGCTTTCTTCATGTGGCTGAGCTCTTGCTGGATGCCCTTAAAGTGTTGCTCATAGTATTGTTCTCTCCTTTCCTATTGATAGGGGAGAAAATCATTTCTTTCACCCTCATCATTTTAACTTTGTACCTCTTCATTGCGTCCGTTCCTTGGGGGTGGATGAGGATCCTGCCCCTAGGTCTGACTGTCCCCTCCTTCATCAACTTCTCTAAGAGGATCGAGGTGTTGTTGCTCTTTGTGAGAGGGGTTATTCTAGCCTTCTTGGGTCGATCGTGCCTCCTGAGGGCGTTTCAAGAGTTTCAAAAGCTCTTCATTCTACCGTAGCAGACATTAATTAACCAGGCGAAAGGCCTCCAACTCGTTGTTTATGTGGGGATTTCCCATGGAGGAATTTGTCTCTAGGACATTCTCGGGCTGTCTGTCATTGGTAGCTTCTTGTTGTTCTTGCATTCGTGGTAGATTATTTGGCTTCTACTCATGTTACGAGTTGAGACCATCAATTATTGAAGGATCAACGTATTTGTAACAGGAACAGTCGTTTCCCACAGACGGCGCCAAACCGATGGTGTAAATCAATGTGGTGCAACTTTGTGATACTAAGTAGATGAGATGAGCANAGGAACAGTCGTTTCCCACAGACGGCGCCAAACCGATGGTGTAAATCAATGTGGTGCAACTTTGTGATACTAAGTAGATGAGATGAGCAGTATGTGACTATTAGGGTTTGAGCTGTAAGGCTCGAAAGAACAAGGATTGATATTTTTTTGGGGGAATTAGGGGATTGAGATAATGAAAATATAGTGGTTCACTAGTTCGGGAGCTCGACTAATCCACTCTTCATTGGAGGCTCTTCCTCCTTCTTTCTTTGTATATCCTCCGAAAATTTTTACAAGATCGATGGTTTGTTATTCGAGAGCCCCACTCTTGGGGGCGTTACATAGTATTTATAGGNAATATGTGACTATTAGGGTTTGAGCTGTAAGGCTCGAAAGAACAAGGATTGGTATTTTTTTGGGGGAATTAGGGGATTGAGACAATGAAAATATAGTGGTTCACTAGTTCGGGAGCTCGACTAATCCACTCTTCAATGGAGGCTCTTCCTCCTTCTTTCTTTGTATATCCTCCGAAAATTTTTACAAGACCGATGGTTTGTTATTCGAGAGCCCCACTCTTGGGGGCGTTACATAGTATTTATAGGGTTGTCCTTAGTTCTACGGAATCTATACCAAGATCTTTGTCATTTATCTAAGGAACTCTCCTTGATCTTAGGAGAGGATTTTGGTTGGTTAAGAATTTTGTGCCCCAAATATGGTTCTTTGCCACCTATAAGATTTTTCTTGTCATCCTGTTGTTCCCTTATCATTTTTATTGTTGTCATATCTGAGAGAAGTTCTAGCTCTGATCCTCTGAGCTCTGAGCTATGCGTGTCTTTCCTAACATCTTAGTCTGATTTGCTTGTTTAACCTCCGCGCCTGAACTCATACTTAGAAATTATTCTGAGTATCATCAAATATCAATAGCAATAAATAAATTATATCAAAATTTTTAATTTTTAATTAATTTTGATACAATAATTTTTTTTTTCATTTTTTAACAAAGCCTTATCCAAAAAAAAAATTAATAATCAAAAGATAAACTATGGCGCTAAGAAGCCAGTCACGCATAACGAAAAGCTTCTGCAGTCAGCACCGATGACAACAATGGACCACGAGGCTGCCACGCGCCTCTTGCNATAATAATAATCAAAAGATAAACTATGGCGCTAAGAAGCCAGTCACGCATAACGAAAAGCATCTGCAGTCAGCACCGATGACAACAATGGACCACGAGGCTGCCACGCGCCTCTTGCAATCCCACTAATCTTCATCGTCCACGTGCCTCACTTCTAACGGCCAAAAATTTGTCTAGCCAGCCAGGCAAATCTTCGTTCTACATATATCTTTCTCCGCGCGCGCACACACGCACTTTTCAGTCCGTTCTTTCACCTTCCGTCCCGTCCCCTTCACCTTCGACCACCATATAAACGATCGTCTCATTCTTTCTCTCTCTCAACCTTAGACGGAGAAATGCACTGCCAATCTCTATATTCCTTCTCTGTTTCTCCGTTTAACGCTTCGGAGAGCCGTTTTTATGGTGCTTCGTCGGCTGTGCAGCTGTTTCGGAGGAATGTGGCTGGCTATGGCGGTTTCATGATTAAAGCTTCNCCGCGCGCGCACACACGCACTTTTCAGTCCGTTCTTTCACCTTCCGTCCCGGCCCCTTCACCTTCGACCACCATATAAACGATCGTCTCATTCTTTCTCTCTCTCAACCTTAGACGGAGAAATGCACTGCCAATCTCTATATTCCTTCTCTGTTTCTCCGTTTAACGCTTCGGAGAGCCGTTTTTATGGTGCTTCGTCGGCTGTGCAGCTGTTTCGGAGGAATGTGGCTGGCTATGGCGGTTTCATGATTAAAGCTTCGAGGGAGGCCAATAATAGAGCCATCTCGGACATCGTCTTCGAGCCTTTCGAAGAAGTGAAGAAGGAGCTCCTTCACGTCCCCAATGTCCCTCAGGCATCGCTCGCTCGTCAGAAGTATACCGATCACTGCGAGTTCGCCATCAATGAACAGATCAAGTACGCTTTACTTCTCTCCATCTCTTTACTCAGATATGTATTTTATATATACGAACAAATATAGCTGTATGTAGACATAGTCATATACAGATGTTTGGTCTGGATCTGTTTTGTAGAGTTTTATTTGTATAGATGTGTNAAGGAGGCCAATAATAGAGCCATCTCGGACATCGTCTTCGAGCCTTTCGAAGAAGTGAAGAAGGAGCTCCTTCACGTCCCCACTGTCCCTCAGGCATCGCTCGCTCGTCAAAAGTATACCGATCACTGCGAGTTCGCCATCAATGAACAGATCAAGTACGCTTTACTTCTCTCCATCTCTTTACTCAGATATGTATTTTATATATACGAACAAATATAGCTGTATGTAGACATAGTCATATACAGATGTTTGGTCTGGATCTGTTTTGTAGAGTTTTATTTGTATAGATGTGTTATCTGCGAGATTTATATTCTTTTTATTGGTTTTGTTGACGAGAAAATGGTGAAAAAGAGTCAAAGAAGGATGTTCTCCTTTGGTTGTTTGTTGTTTTCAAAGATAAAACTAAATAAGGAACTATATGGACATATCAGAATTCTGATTTGGTTTTGTTTCCTGCATTAATTTTCTCCCCACTCAAACTGAGTATGGGTGTTTGAGTCTTATGTTTATAGATATTTTTCTTTCTTGATTGTTTTACGTGGAGTTGAAGTTTCCTGTTAGCACTGGGGCTTTGTTGTGCTTCCTCAATTTCTGTACTTGCTGGACTCTTCATAACATATCCTTAATTTTTTTGAGATTCTCATTTCACTTGCATATGTAATATGTTCGTGTCCACATTTGATGTCCACAGTGTGGAGTACAATGTCTCCTATGTTTACCAGGCCATGTACGCCTACTTTGACCGTGACAATGTTGCTCTCAAAGGCCTAGCTAAGTAATAAATTCCTTCATATCCTGTATTCAGCTAATTTTAGTGCCTTGCTATTCTGTATTTGCTAGATTGCTTCTTATTGTTTGGTTGCTAATAGTTTTTTCAAGGAATCAAGTGAAGAAGAAAGGCAGCATGCTGAGAAATTGATGGAATACCAGGTGTTTGCAATGATGCATTCGAATTCTCCAGTTATCAATGATCAATTTGTCTGGAAAATTTGTTTTAGCTTGCTCCTCACTTTTTATTTTGACATCTGTAAAATAACTGTTTTCTGACTACATTCAGAATAAACGAGGCGGGAAAGTCAAGTTACAATCTATGCTGATGCCTGTATCTGAATTTGATCACATTGAGAAGGGTGATGCACTCTATGGTAGGTTCGAAACCACTTTCTCTGTTAATGCACGAATGTATTTTCCATGCTGAAAATTGAAATCTGTCATTTAATTCCACTTGCCCATCACCTGGTGGAATTCTAATGGACTTGATGGATAACAGAATTGTGCTTACATGAATCTATCCCTTTGCTGAAAGCTGTATGCATTAGCCACGTTATGTATATCAGTTATCATGACGGCTACATACATTTTGCTGTATTGCCTTAAGTCCACATTTATTCAGAGGGATATAGATGCATTGCATAATTTACATATCTTACGGTAGCAGTAGCTTCAATTCTCATCTGATTCCACTACATTTAGTAGATAATCAACACCAGATGTATGGTCCTAGTCTCATGAAGCTTTGAAAACTTGCAATTTCATTTTATGGCCTTGAGCATCATTCCCCTATTTTGTTTTCATAGTTGTGGTATTGCAGAGCATTAAATTCATAGGATACTAGAACAGCAGCATTATTGGTATCCCTAGCTTTGCAGTGTTGGGTTAGTGGCAAGAATTTGTTACTGATTTCATTTGAGTTTAGTGTCTTTGAATGTCTTCTGTTTACTTTATTCTTTTCTTTATTGGTGGATTTCATATTAACGTTCTGTAGGTTCCTGGCATAAATTATGCTATGGTAAAACAGGCTTANCATTTGAGTTTAGTGTCTTTGAATGTCTTCTGTTTACTTTATTCTTTTCTTTATTGGTGGATTGCATATTAACGTTCTGTAGGTTCCTGGCATAAATTATGCTATGGTAAAACAGGCTTAGCAATCAATAATTAAGATGTAGACATGTCCATAACTGATAAAATGGGCACGTTGATAGATGAGTGGTAGGAAAAGATGACATGACAGCATTTAGCACCATTTGAGGACTAGAGAGAGAGTTGGCTAAGAATGTTTAGCTGTATGCTAATAATGAGACGCAACTCGTGCACTTTCAGGGGAACAAAGGAGAGATCCAAGGTTTTCCCTCACAGCCAATACAACTGTTACTAGTAAGAGTATCTGTAATATGATATTGAACTAAGCAAGAAGTTGATGCTCCCCACTTCTGCCAAATTGAAGTCCAGAAATATCCCTTGTGGTTTGACAGCTCTGCACCACCTCCTAGAAAATTAAAATCTGCATAACCCATGATATTCTTGTAGTGCATGTCACCAGTTCTCTGAGTGTGTTCTTTCTGAAGAAGAGCAAAACGACCCATGATACTAATTGTTAGTGATTTTTGATTCAGCAATGGAGCTTGCCTTGTCCCTGGAGAAGTTAACGAATGAGAAACTCCTGAATTTACATAGGGTAAATAACTTTTTATCTTTGTGTTATTTTAACGATTTTCCTGTTTGTTTCTCCAACCTTCATTGGCGATAATATCATTCATGTGAATTCTATTGGGGTACCTTAGTAAATCAGGCAATAGATTGCTCACTTTGTGGTGCTTGAAGCTGCTGTTGTTGATGCACCATTCTTAAGATAATAATATTCTTCTAATACATGCTTTTGTTTGGGTAACTAAAGGTAGCAGATCAAAATAATGACGTGCAATTAGCAGATTTTGTTGAAAGTGAATTCTTGGCTGAGCAGGTGAAGCTTTTTTATCTTGTTTTCTGACTTGAAGAATTTGTTAATCAATGGTACTTCGCAAAAAATTTCTGAGAGTATATATAATCAACCATTTTTTGTATTTAATCAAGATTTCCTCCAACGTTTAGTTGGAAGCCATCAAGAAGCTGTCAGAATACGTTGCTCAGCTGCGGAGAGTGGCCAAAGGCCATGGTACTTCCTTATCCCCTGTTGTCCACATGTAGTTTACTCTCATTAATTATTTTATTAATCTTTATGTGTGGATGCATTCTGTTTTATATGTAGATTTTGGTTGTCAATTTACAGGTGTTTGGCATTTTGATCAGATGCTCCTCACCAATGGGGTCGCTGCATGATAAACTCTTACATCATAAATCTATCCGTTGAATATTCTAATCCAATTTTGATTGAGGTTGCTTTATTCCTCCTAGAAAGTTCTGTAGTTTTGGTACTAGTTGAAGTTGAAGTTGAAGTTTATCCCATAATCAGATATTTAGTGAGCTAGTGACAATTTTTAGTTTGAGAAACTTATGATAGCTCATTACTTGAAATTGATTGGTTTGATGTCATTTTTATACATCATTTGTTTTGATGTTGAACAAGGTTATTGGTCGTGATGCANTTGAGAAACTTATGATAGCTCATTACTTGAAATTGATTGGTTTGATGTCATTTTTATACATCATTTGTTTTGATGTTGAACAAGGTTATTGGTCGTGATGCAGCTATAAGGTTTCTATTGTGGCGTGGATGTCACCCTCTCCCAAATCCGTCTTTTTTTTTTGTTAAGCTAATTGTTTCGTCACTTTCTTGTTGATGCAGTTTTTAGGCAACCCAGTTGAGCAGCAGATCTTTCATAATTATATATTCCCTCCCGATGTTGTAACAACAATATGCGTGCATTGAGCCACCCCCAAGTAAAGCGTTAAAAAGTGGGTATAGGTTTTTCTTCCTGGTTTTCACCCATATGGTGAAACACAAGGTTGTCAGACTCAAGTTTAGGACAAAGGGCAATGGAGACTGGTACCATATTACCTTTACCTACATGAAACATTAATTAGGTAAGGTTTAATTAGGTCAATACGTTTTTCCAAAGAAACAAGATGCTAACATATACCTGAAGAACGCATCTCCAGGATCTTTCCTCGACGGAACTCGAAAACTGCATGAAGAAATTAGTTTCTGGTAAGCAGTTTGAAGCTCACCAGGTTACCCGACANACCTGAAGAACGCATCTCCAGGATCTTTCCTCGACGGAACTCGAAAACTGCATGAAGAAATTAGTTTCTGGTAAGCAGTTTGAAGCTCACCAGGTTACCCGACATTGAATACCAATGATTAAGCGCATGAATAGAACAACCACGACCAACATCACATGCCTCCTGCCAGTGATCAGGAGACATTGCCTCCCGAGAAAACTGGAACGCCGAGTCTACTAGCAGAAAACACCAACACTTCAGCTTCCTTCGAAATCTTCAGGTTAACTTGGCCCATCTTACATGAATGGGTGATGCGTTTCTGATGGGACTTTTCTGAAATACTCANCAACACTTCAGCTTCCTTCGAAATCTTCAGGTTAACTTGGCCCATCTTACATGAATGGGTGATGCGTTTCTGATGGGACTTTTCTGAAATACTCAAAGATGAAGACACGTGTCCTCAGCGTCACTAAAAATCCTGTTAACTGAGATCACGTACCATCGGCTTACAAACTCTCTCGCCCCCGAGGTACTTGACACGTGTCGAGTACGTTTACGAACTGACACGTATCCCTCGGTCTGATATGGTACTTCGGTCGTCATGTACAGCTTCCCTCGGCTCGTGATGTACCTATCCTCGGTACCGAGATGTAACTATCTTCGGTACCGAGATGTACCCCCGTCTAGGATGCCTTTTTCTCTGCTCCAGTATAAACTATTGATGTACAGGTCATTAGCTTAGACTAGTTTAGGTTAGCTATCATGATCTCGTCTTACACAATTGGTGTCAGAAGGAACAGGAAGACAGGGTCCACAGCCAATGAGGGATGGACGCGTGGCAAATTGTGTCACATCAGAGACAGAAAGACCGCATGCCCTTACTGACACGCGACTAGGGAAAATAAACATTTAATTACACCATTCCCTTGATGAGACCGCATTCAATGCGGTAAGGCTCGGAATTGAAAGGCAATAAATGTCTCTAAGGCTGGGTATTTATTGCATCCTCCCCGAGTGGAGATCATTAGACAGTCGGCAGCCCGATGACACAGCATTGATTGCTCGGGACTCCGAACAGTTAATGAAGGGAAGACATTCCTCATCAGAATCAGTGCGCACACTGCCTGTACCTAATGATCATCTACTGACAACACTGACAGCAATCATGAGCTTTTGAGGTATAAATACTCCTCGTAAAAGGTAAAATGGTATGCAACAAAAAACTCTTAACTACGAAATATATTCAGTGCTTTCTTCTTCCTCTCCTTTTCAAAAACTAACTTGATCGTCGGAGGGGATAAGCCGGAAAACACTCCAGCGCCCTTCTAACTTGTTCTCCTTTGTTCCAGGAACCTTTCCCTAGCCTTACTGGATCATTCCTTCAATCCACGAGGGTCTCCCGTTGCCGTTCCAGGTTACCACCAGACCTCACAGGCTGTCCCAAACAGCCTGGTTGACCATTCAACTGACTCACTCGAGTTCACCAAGGGAGAGATCTGTTCTCGTTTTTTANCATTCAACTGACTCACTCGAGTTCACCAAGGGAGAGATCTGTTCTCGTTTTTTATATTGTGCAAGATCCTGCACGCAAAATCTGGCGCCGTCTGTGGGAAACGACTAGTTTTCCTAGTTTTTTCTCTATAAAGAACAGTGACCATGGTGAACACTCGACAAAAAGGGAAAGGTCCCCACCAAAGAAGTCTCGAATTACAAGCTCCCTGTCACCATGAAGGGAGGGATCACACTGATGGGAATAAAAATGCCTCTACTCAGTCAAGAGGGGTTACCCCTCAAACCAGTATGGGAATCAGGTCAGGAGGATCAGCCCCCCTGGCTCGTCAGCTGGCGGAGGTGATCGAAGAAAAGTTTGGCGATAGATTACGACAGCTGGAAAAGGACAATGTAAACGTCCTAAGCCGGCTCAACGAATTTGCCGCCTCCGGCGAAGGGTCGAGGGACTCATTCCTTTCTCGTGGGTTCCCCGCCCGGGAGGCAGAAACGAAGGATCTAAGGAATCATTTAAACAACAAGGCAGAAAGCTCCAAGGCTCCAAAGCGACCGAGAGCCAACGAGCACCCTCCTAACGACCATTCAAGGAAGGCAAGACCATTAGCCCTGGACGACCTCCGGCGAGGATTGTCTAGACGGAGGAAGGGAGATGAGTCCGAGGAGGATTCTACCCTATCCACACGGCGCCCAGGAAATGGGGGGCCTATTGATGAACTCAAAGACTTCAGAAGACATCCCGTCAGGGAGGAAATTGATCTCAGAGCCCGGTTGGAATCCAGGAGAAAGAGTAAGGCTGTCCAGGATGAGGTCGAAGACGAGGTCATACAAACACCCTTTACCAGGGAGATCGGAGAGATGGAGGTTTCAAGAAAGTTTGTCGTGCCGAGGTTCAAAACTTATGACGGGCGGTCCGATCCTGAAGCCCATCTCAGGCAATACAAGCAGATGATGTCCCTCTATCATTCGGACCAACGGTTCCTCTGCCGAGTGTTTCCTATGAGCTTGGGGGACTCTGCGATGAAGTGGTTCGAGGCGCTTCCCCCCAACAGTATTGGATCGTGGAAGGAATTGACGAGGCAGTTCCTGGCTCGATTCATTACGGGGAGTAAGCGGCCCAAAGACGTTGGATCATTGCTAACGCTCAGACGTAGGGAATCCGAGACCCTTCGCCAGTATGCCATCCGATACTGGGAAGAGGTTAATGAGGTAGAAGGCTGCTCGGAAGTCATGGCAGCGGCGTCTTTCAGGCTCGGCTTGGCGAGGGACACGGACCTGTACCGATCCCTGACCAAGAAGACTCCCTCGGATATGGGCGAGCTGATGGCCCGGATAAACAAATACTCAAGGATCGAGGACGAGATGGGAAGCAGCAAAGGCCGAACCCTCCAATCTAAGAGAAAAGAGAGGGAGCGGGAAGATACTCCCCGAAAGGGATTGCTACCCCCTCCAGGGGGTTCGTCCAAAGGAGTTCACACTATGTTCAAGGAACCCATCTTCAAGTTGCTCCATAAAATCAAGCATGAGCCGTTCTTCAAGTGGCCGCCCAGGATGCAGAGCGATCCCTCCACCCGTGATCAAAAGGTTAGGTGTTCCTATCACCGGGATTTCGGACATCGCACCGAAAGCTGCAGGGTGTACAAATCATTCTTGAAAAAATTGGTCCGAGACGGATACTTGAAAGAATACATAGAGCCCAGGCCAGAAGAGAGACACACCATTGCCCCGACCGAGGAACCGGACAACGTCATAGATGTCATCCATGTATGTCCCCTGGATCGCCCCACGTCCAAGGAACTCGAGTCCGACCTCAAGAGGGTAGCTTTTACAAGGAAGGTGGCCGAGGATGATGGAGGGCCACCCAGTAAAAGGGGCAGGACTGGTGAGCCAAGCATCACGTTCTCAGACGCGGACTTGACAGGCGTAGTGACTCCTCATAACGACGCCCTTGTCTTGACCCTGAAGATAGGAAAATTCGACGTCAAAAGGGTGTTGATAGACTCTGGAAGTTCCTCGGAAGTGATGTACTCCGAGACTTTAAAACGGATGGGTCTTGGCCTCAAGGACCTCACCAAGGTCAGAACACCTCTCATCGGATTCAACGGCTCGTTCGCCCTGCCCATAGGCAAAATCACATTGCCAGTTGTCACCGGTCCCTTCGTCATCAACACCGAGTTCGTCGTAATTGATACGGACTCTCCCTACAACGTGATCATGGGGCGAACATGGCTGCATGCGTTGGGAGCGGTGCACTCCACCTACCACCAGAAACTAAAATTTGCCACGCCAGAAGGTATCATGGAGATCCGGGGGGACCAAGCGTCCGCTAAAAATTATTTTTATTCAGCCGTTAGAGCCGGGGCGTTCACCCAAGAAAAGGGACGAGCACCGGAAGAGATCATGGAAAAATAGCAATCACAGTCCGGGCGTCCAGGAATGGATGACCCCCGGATAGACCCAACTGAGCGGTCGGTGGAGGACCTCCGGAAGGTGCCCTTGGTGGAGGGAGAAGAAGAAAGATATTTCTTAGTTGGGACCGCGATGCCCGCAGCCGAACAGGAGGAGATGATTGAGTTCCTAAGGGGAAATGCAGACGTGTTCGCTTGGAACGCAATGGAGATGACGGGGGTAGACCCCGAGATAATCACGCA